CAAAATTGAGTTAAGAAATTTTTTGTTGGTCAAACCAAAGATTTTTTTAGTACAAAACCTTTTTTTAATTAAATCAAAATAATTTCGTAAAATCCGATAATTGGCCTCAACGCTTGAGGGCCGAACGCATGAAGAACGGCCAATATTTGTATAAAGAACAAATTATTAAAAATTTTTATTTTTTTCTTATTTAATGAAGATGTTCATGAAAATGTTTGTATGAAACATACAAATATGAAGCTACAAATTTAATATACAAACATTTTGAACTCTTAATTCGTACATACATATTTATGTTTGTCTTTGAAAACAAAGCAAAAAGCTTTGAAAATCAATCAATTAATACTGAAAATTATCAATTTATTTATGCCGCTTATGAATGATATGCAAATACAACATCAGATATTAATATGTATGTATGTATTCATACACAGCTAAGTCGCTAAGATGACATGAATAACGGCTCATTTGAAGCTGAAGTTGTCAGTAAGCAAAATCAAATTTGATTTGAAGGGCAGACGGTGAACTTGTGAAGCTTTTGTTTACACTTACAGTGGCTCAAAAGAGTATTCGGCGGTGTTTCAATAAAAAATAGTTTAATGCGTTTCACTCTTCAAGAAAATATTTCTTTAAATGCTATGATAGTACATAACGTTAGTTGGAATTTTTAAAATGTCGTTTTCCATTTTATTTTGGCACGCAATATTTTTTCTTACTGAGGAATTTTTATACTGATTTTTATTGTTTGAAAACAATTTGTGATGAGAAATTTTTAATGTTATTAATGTTATTTTCTGTTAAGCGATATTTTATGTTCACCAACATTTCTATAAATTTTTTTAAGAATATTTTATGTTAAACTATATTTTATGTGTACCAAAATTTCTAAAAATTTTTGTGCATTTTTTTTTTAAATTGAAGAATATATTGTGATATATTACTACATTAGTTTTAAGAATATTTTATGTTCGACAATATTTTATGTCAAGCTAGATTTATTTTTAGTTTTAGGAATATTTTAAGTAATATTTCACGTTAGTTTTAAGAATATTCTATGTTTGGAAATATTTTGTGTCAAACAATATATTATGTTAAGCCATATTTTATGTTTCCCAAAATTTCTGTCCATTTTTTGTGTATTCATTGTTCTCTTTTTATTTTAAGAATATTTTATGTTAAGTTATATTTCACGTTATGACATATTTTACACAGTCCAAAGTAGCCCCTGTTGGCAAAACTGATTCTGTGTTGAATTTCAAAGCTGACGTTGTTGTTTGTTATTAACGCTGGTTCGAAGATAGAGTATCTACTACTTCAAAGTTACCCCAGTATGCCAGTGACATGAGAACCGAGTCGCAGATGCGATGCGATATACGAATGCCTTGGCTTAAACCAAATAATATTGTCTTACTCTAGTCTATTCAGCTTTGTAGCTCTTATAATTTCCTTCAGTAAAAAATTGAAGAAGGCACACGATAAACAAAGAACATACTCTGCACATCTGTGGAATATCATTAAACTCCGTAGTGTCATCTTGCCACATAAGGAATCCGATAGTTCAAAACATAGTACTTATTTCGTTTGCAGTCGTCCTAATTAAAAGTGAGTTTTGTCATCCGATGCGTTGTTACCTTTTTCCTACGCCGCAAGTCCTAGAACACAACTTCATTAGGCGATTAGGTGCACATTTACATAAGTATAAAAATAGCAAGGCGGTTGCTTTAAGACTGCCAAGTTTAATTATTTAAAGTGTTGTATTGCATCTTTTAATGTTAAACAATATTTTATGGCAAAAAATTTTGCTTAGCTCGTCAAAAATTTCGTTTTATATCTGGAAACAATTAGTGCTTAGCAATATTTTATATTGAGCCATATTTTATGTTAAGCCATATTTTATGTTAAGCCATATTTTGTGTTTATAATATGGTGGTTTGAAATATTTTATGTTAAGCCATTTATGTTTAGAAATATTTTATGTTAAGCCATATTATATGTTTACCAAAATTTTTATTTATTTTTCAATATTTGAGCTATATAATATTTGATGTTTAGCAATATATTATATTTTATAGGTAGATATTTGAACACATTTTATGTATTTTTGGTTATTATTTGGTTATATTTTTTTATTTTATTTATAGTAACCATTTCATTAAATATTTAATATAAAGATATATATATTTTTTAAGTTAAGAAAATTGTATCTACTTTTTCAACATTTTGCGTAAAATAATTTATTCATTCTTAACCGTTTTGCCACACATGCGACTCTACGCAGACGTTGAAATATGGTGAGACATTTAAGCAGTCAAAAAAAAAAAAAAGAAAAGTGACACGAATTGTCGAAATTTAACTTCATTCATAAAATGCATCGGCTCATGAAATCAAGTTGAGATTGTTTTTTGGTATTTTATTGCAGTTTCTGCACTCTCCACCTTCCTTGTCAACACGTTTTTCTGTTCGACATGGAAGATGGTAAGAAACACACACCATAAACCTTAATGTTTCGTATGACACATATGCTCATATATATATGTGTTTATTTATATTTAACGGCCAATGTGTTTGTTAAACAGGTTTTTGTGAGCTCACCGCGCCAAGTGATATAACCTAAAGACACTAAAAATGATTTTGATTATCCGGAAAAGTTTATATTTGTTTCGTTTGTTTATTCGGCCTTGACTTTGAAGCATTTTGGCGTACATTATTAATATGCGGCAGAATGTAAGTAATTAATTTTTCATTTCCTATAGTAATTTAGTCGTTAATAGTGGAACACTTTGATAAATGTTTGAAAGGCGAAGAGATCTTCAACTATTAGAAAGAAATTGCGGCGTGTCTAGAAGCGAATCCTATACCACTTTGGTTAACTAATTTCATTCCAAATACTCAAGGTCCTTATCAATCGAAAAGGAGTCAAAACTTCTTCTCTAAAATCTTGTCAGCTCTTAGACACTGTCATTCATGCGGTTTTTTTTCAAACATTGAGACTTTATTGTAAATATTTTTTATACATTTAATGTTCAAAGTATTGCCCATCGGAAGCTACGATGTTTGTCCATCTTTCTGGTAGTTTGTGGATCCCAACCCAAAAGAACTGCTCCGGCTTGGAGGTCAAGAAAGAATCGAGCTAATTTCTGATGCCCTGTTCTGAAGCGAAGCGTACTCCGGAAAGGGCTTGCTGCATTGATCTGAACAAGTGGTAATCGGAAGGTTCCATGTCTGGGCTATAGGGCGGGTGAGGTAGAGCTTACCACCCACAGTTTTCCAAATAGTTTTTAACTGGCCTTTCAACATGTGGCCGAGCGTTTTCATGATGAAAAATTGATCGTCGGACCCGATTACAATAGCTCATAATAGAGCACACCCTTGTGGTCCCACCAAATGCATAGCATAACCTTGGCACCATGGATATTCGGCTTTGTAGTTGATGTCGATGGTTGGCCGAGCTTCACATGCGATCTTTTGTACTTTGGGTTATCATAATGAATCCTTTTTTCATCGCAACTGACTATCCGATACAAAAATGGCTTCTTTCGGGTGCGTTGAATCAACATTTCCGACATGCAGAATCGACGTTCGACGTCTCTTGGCTTTAATTCATAAGGCACCCGATTTCCAAGCTTCTGAATGAATTCTAATGATTTTAATCGTCTGGAAACGGTTGCTTGATCAACTCCTAATACTTGCAAGTTCTTTTTACGTCTGTCATGTATCTGCGTCGAGCAATGTCTCCAATTCTTCGTCTTAAAATTTTGTTGGCTGTCCGGGTCGTTCTTCGTCGTCTAAGTCGAAATTGCCACTTTTAAACCGTGCAAACCTCTTTTGGCACGTTCGTTCGGCTAAAACACGATGGCTTTCGGTAGCACTTTTTCATGTTAAAGAAATGAAGAAGAACTCCCCGCAAAAACACTTTATCTGGTAAAAATTTCGAATGAACTGAAAACGATGCGAAATAACAGTACCTTTGATAAGAATATAGCCACAGATGAACACGACGCGAAATAATACTAGTAGAGCCCTCTCTTAAACAACCGCACGAATTAATACATATACCCATTAAATATTCTTAAACTCGTAAAAAATTTAAAATAAATGTTTAAAATTTCAATTTCTGTCGTGAGCCAAAATAATTATTTTTATTTTTTTTTTTGTTTTGATTCAATTCTACACATTTTTAATACATTTAAATGACCACAATTAAGTTAAGTGAAGAAGTCAATCAAGTGTCATTCAATGAAATAATGATGTGCAAATTAATCTCAAAAATGATTATATATTTTTTTTTCATTTAAATTTTAGAAATATTTGAACTGTTTAAATTGTCAAGATGTCTCGTTTGGAGTAAATTAAGTGGGTGTATGGGCTTGGTTTATGAAGAGCTTGAAATAAATAAATTTGCTACGGATTTTGCTCTTAAAATTTTTGGCATATTTTATTTTGTACAAATCCAGTTTTTAAGAGTTGAAAAAAAAAAATGAGAAAAAAATAATCGTTTACCAATATTGTGTATTTTTATTGTTATGCGCCAGTGCTGCCAAGTTGTGGCCTCACTCAAGTTTGTTTGGTGAAGCTTAGCTAAAATAAGGAAGATGCTTGGTTATCAACTCAACGAGCAATTTGCTGTCTTCATGTCACGCAAGCGCCGCCGCTCTGTTCTTTTGTTAGTTCAGTTTGAATAAGTGTATGCCTGTTGTTGCTCTGTTTAGATAGCTTAGATATTTATTAAGATATGAGCAGTATATATGTATATATATATATATATATATATATATATATATATATTGCCATCTCGCACCTGCTATTGCTCATCTGCTTTAGCGCGCTTATCAATAACATAGTTCTTTTGGTACTTATTTCGTTTCTTCTTCTTCTTCTTCTTCGTTTGCTACCACTTCGATTGAATATTTGAATATTTCGATAATTTTTTTGGTTTTTTTGCCAACTATAAATGCTTGTGCACCCCAAGCGTTTCGTTTAGTCTCGATCTAATCTTGCTTTTGAATATTTCCCTTGTCGGTATTGGCTTGAGTTGAGAGTTTTGCAATGAAACCGTTTGCTTGTATTGTGGTCATTGCGGCCGCACTTATTGCCTGTGGTCAGGCGCATAATGTGCAAAAGCGTTCTTTAGGCGCGCTGTTAGGAGGTGGTGGTAGTGGCGGTGGCGGCGGCGGCGCCTGGAGTAGCGGAGGTGGTGGTGGCTGGAACAGCGGTGGTGGTGGCGGCGGTATTGGTGCGCTGCTTCAACAGAAACTGGGCGGTTTGCTCGGTGGTGGTGGTGGCGGCGGCGGCCGTGGCGGCGGTGGAGGTGGCTGGAGCAGCGGCGGAGGTGGTGGCTGGAACGGCGGTGGAGGTGGCTGGAGCAGCGGTGGAGGTGGTGGTTGGAATGGCGGCGGTAGTGGCGGTCACGGTGGCTGGAGCGGCGGCCATGGCGGCGGCGGCGGTGGTGGTTATGGTGGTGGCAGCAGCAAACTCATCATTGTTAAGGTTTTGAACGATGGCGGCTCGGGCGGTCACGGTGGATATAGTGGCGGCGGCGGCCATGGTGGCTGGAGCGGCGGCGGTGGTGGCGGTCATGGCGGCTGGAGCGGTGGCGGCAGTGGCGGTTGGGGTGGCAACGGTGGTTGGTAAATTATCAATCAAGCTAAGCCAACGTAAACATATTTTTGCAATACAACAACAGCAAGCTATAAATAATTATTAATTACACACGTAATTAATAATAATTTAAATTTGTTAAAAAAGCGAGAATTTCATAGACTTAAGCAGCAATTTTAGTAATAGTAAATTTAATAGTAAAAAAAAATCCCAAGAAATTTTAATAAAAATTTCGTAAAAAAATCAAAAAAAAAAAAAAATTATTTTTCATCCGTCGCATGGTTTCCCTATGAGCAGAACTTCTTTTTCCTCTTAATTAAAATTTCATGTATAACGGGTTCTTGAGCAACGCGCCCTGTAGCAGCTAATTATAGCGCATAATTCTTTCAAAGCCGCACATACACACAAAAAAAAAAAACAAAAAAAAAACAGAAAAAATCAAGGAATTCAAATATAATTTTTCTTAATTAATGCACATAAATTAGTTAGTCAATAAGCGAAACTTAAGTTGGGTACATTAAGGTATTAGTTATGCGAAGTCGTGAGCATCTCAAGTTTCCGTCGAGCTAAGTCTTCGAGAATTTGTTTGTTTCTATATTTAGTTCTGCCACCAAATATGCCAAATGGAAGCAAAGAGGTCATAAACATCATTTTTTATTATTTTTACTCTGTTTGTATGGGCAATCACAGCGGGTTAAAATGTAAATAAATTGGATTTGTGTTACAACTGTAATTTTACAGAACCATTTTTCAACCTTTACATCGGGAATTTCCAAAAAAATAAATAAATAAATTATGTATTTTAGCAAATTATTAATTTCATTGATTTGCCTTCCATGCTTGAGTATATTACATACATATACTATAAAAACTTCCGGGTCTTAACCATTAGGCAAGGGAGAGATGAAAGGAGCTCCTCCTCAAATTTGTCGTCTTGAGTTTGGCTAATTTTCACCAACAAATGGAGTGGCCTGCAGTTGTCTATTCGAAGCCACCTCCGATTGGCTGCTGGTTTTCTAATGATAATATGTTTCCTTCCGAGATCTAGACCAGTGAATGTCCGAGAGAAGAGGTCTAGACCAGTGAATGTCCGAGAGAAGAGGTCTAGACCAGTGAATGTACGGGAGAAGAGGTCTAGACCAGTGAATGTCCGAGAGAAGAGGTGTAGACCAGCGAATATGCGGGAGGAGAAGGCAGCTGGTTAATCGTAAGTCTCACTATCAGATTAATCATGTTTTGATTGACGTAAGACAAGTCTCCGATGTTCTACCTGCGAGTAGCTAATTTTCACTTCGATAGTCCTCTCTATGTATGGGTGCATGCATTAATTCGTACGGTTTTCTAAGAGAGAGTTCTACTAGTATTATTCCACGTCATGTTCAGCTGTGGCTGTATTCATTTCAAAGGTACTGTCATTTCGCGTCGTTTTCAGTTCATTTGAAAATGTCGAAATTTGTACCAGATAAAGTGTTATTGCGGGGCGCTCTTCTTCATTACTTTGACATGAAGAAAAGTGCTACCGAAAGCCATCGTATTACTGGACGTTTACGGTAACATAGTTGAACCAACGTGCCAAAAGTGGCTTGCACGGTTTAAAAGTGGCAATTTCGACTTAGACGACGAAGAACGACCCGGACTGCCAAAAAAATTTTAAGACGAAGAATTGGAGACATTGCTCGACGCAGATGCATTCCAGATGCAAGAAGAACTTGCAAGTATTAGGAGTTGATCAAGCAACCGTTTCCAGACGATCAAAATCATTAGGATTCATCCAGAAGCATGGAAATCGGGTGCCTTATGAATTAAAGCCAAGAGACGTCGAACCTCAATTCTACATGTCGGAAATGTTGCTTCAACGCTACCAAAAGATGTAATTTTTGCATCTGATTCTCACTGTCGATGAGAAATGGATTCATTATGATAGCCCAAAGGGCAAGAGATCGTATGTGAAGCCCGGCCAACCATCAATATCCACGGCAAAGCCGGGTGTGCTCTATTATGAGCTATTGAAATCGGGTCAGACGATCAATTTTTCATCATGACAACGCTCGGCCACATGTTGAAAGACCAGTTAAAAACTATTTTAAAAACTGTGCATGGTAAGCTCTACCTGACCCTCCATATAGCTCAGACAAAGTACCTTCCGATTACCACTTGCTCAGATCAATGCAGCAAGCCCTCTCCGGAGTACGCTTCGCTTCAGAACAGGATATCAGAAGTTGGCTCGATTCTTTCTTGACCTCTAAGCCGGAGCAGTTCTTTTGGGTTGGGATCCACAAACTGCCAGAAAGATGGACAATGATTCAGCTAAGCACTCGCACTACGCCAGGGTGCCTGCTGCTGACGTATGCCGAGGATATTTACACAATGGAGTCAGTAATGGTGCCGTGAGCTCTGATTTATTCAGCCTGGATATGAATACTCCAGCTTTGAAAGTTTTCACACTGCATTTTTTGTCTCCAAAGAGCGAAAAGAAGGAAGGAAAGCCGTATTATTGCTAACTTGTCTTAAGCGATGTCTACGCCAGAAAATAATAAGAATAAGAAAAAATTGCGACTATGCGCTGTTTGAATTTTAGCGCGAGCTTTCGCAATACCTCAAAGACATCTTATTTGGTGTACTGTTAGAAAAGCTTCAAGATTTAAAACTTAGCTTTGCCAAAATAGTAAGTAAAGAAAAACTATAAGCTTTTGTAAAAAACTAATCGAAACAACCATAAAACCTCATGCGCGAAGCTTGTTTTAGAGCGAGCTTAAAAGCTCAATTTATAGTCTAATCATCAAAGCTTTCTTGCTGCAGCAGTTACATTGAATTACACTAATTCAAAAAAAGACAAATGTTAGAAATATCTGCAATATAAAAGGAATCAAATTAAAATTGCAGCTGTTCAAATTATTTTACTCCCGAATTTGCATAATTATTCACTTCATATTAGCAAACAATGATTTGCCAAATATGGCATAATTTTGAGTAAATGGCAAAATTCCAACGAAAAGTTGCTTTAAAAAAATTTAATGTCAGACAAAGTATTTGACTTAAGTTTTATATATTTGAATTTCAATTTTTTTAATTTTAATTTTAATTTTAATTTTAATTTTAATTTTAATTTTAATTTTAATTTTAATTTTAATTTTAATTTTAATTTTAATTTTAATTTTAATCTTAACTAAATTTCTTTTAATTATAATTTTTTTATTTTATTTTATTATTTTTAATTTTAATCTATAATAGATTTTTATTGTTGTTCCTTATGCTGCCACTAAAATCATAATAGACAAAAATTGACTGTCATGCGCCAAAAAAGCGACTTTTGTTGTGGTGTCAGCTGTCAAACGGCTAAGGAAAAAAAAAAATGAACGCCTGCATGGCATATTTATTTATTGTAAGTAATAGACGTTCTGCGCCAGCGCGGCAGGTTGCGTCAGCTACAAAGTAACTATTCGTTTGTTTATAACTTATGCGGCCAACAATTGGATTTTCATTAAATTTTATATATATTTCAATTTATTTTTAGTTGCGTTTGGCAAATTGTTGATTATTTTCGTATTTTTCATTTATTTTTTCACTTTATTTTTTTAACTTTTTTTGATTTTTTTTTTTTTGACTTTTTTTTATATTTATATTTTCTGTTCTGTAAGCTTTTGAATGCCTCAACTTAATGAAATCGTAATTTGCCGACACCGAATTTGACGACAAACCAACGTGCGCTACCAACTAACGGCAAAGATGTGGTTGTATACAGCGATCGGCAAACAGTAGTCAGCAGTTAGTAGTCAGCCGTTGCGTGTCGTGGCTTATGGGCACGCGCCTCACAGCTCACAGCTCAAGGCTTAGCTGGTACTATTTAATTTCATATTTAAGTTTTTTATACACTAAATTTTGATTTCTTATTTCCTATTTTTAGCTACTAATTTTCCCTTCTAACCCAACTATTTAGGCTGCTGCCTAACCTCTTGACCCTAACCATCCGTGGTGGGCGTTTGTGCTAGAACTGATTTGAATTCGTGGTAATTGCAGGGCAGAAAACAAGTGATTCAATTGTGATTTGCGCAAGCTAACTGTAAAGAATGCGCATGCGCCGTTACTATAGGTTCGCTACTGCATAATTATGTTTGGCTGCTCTTAAAATAAGACGCTTTTTGTGAGTTTTCCCCTATAATTTTTTATAATAAATTTACCAATAAAAGCATTTACTATGAGAGGTCATTAGGTGTGGAATTAAATATATTTTTTTTTCGCTCGAAATTTGCTACATTACAAAATTAATGGGTATTTATTTTTCGGTTAACCGAAATTAGAATTATTTTTAACTAAATTTGTGTTTAAGAAAAAATTTTTTTTTCATCTCGATTGTTGCCTAATTTATATTCTGCATTAAGTTAATATATGAATATTTATGTCGACGTTAACTACTGAAGCACTAGGAAGGCTTGAGCTGTCTTCGGCCATGCAGAAGTGCTTATACCTTCCATTGAAATATAAAAACTGAAATTTATGCTAATTCATTTTTGGATTGAATAATCATTATTATATCTCAAATAATCGGTTGAAAGGTATTCTTGCCTCAAAATTTCAAATAGTTCTGAGAAATCGATGATTTTTGATGTTATTTGTTATTTTTGTAGAATATACGCGTGGAGATACAAAGGTTAAAATAACCTTTTGATATTCTTTTGATGGATTTTGACATGAAACATCAAACTTCAAATTATCGGTTGTATGGGAGCTTTCGATGATTTTCGGATGCAATTTTTAGTTGGGTAGATTAGCAAATTTCAAGCTTTTAGATACTTTACTGACCGATTATTCATCCGAATAAATCGGTTGTATGGGTGCTATAAGATATTCTGATGATTTTCGGCGAAATTTTTAGTTTATCGCATGCGTGTAGAATACCAATCATCATGTTCGAAGCTGATTCCTTAATGGTTTCATTTCGCAAAATCTCATAAAAGAACAAAATGATTGTTTGGCCGCCATATATTTTAGAGGCCCAATCTGCACGGTTCCGAAAAAATAATCGTTTAAATGTC